AGTAGTACGCATATATATATATATATTACGTATATATATATATATATATACGACGAATGACGGAAGGCAAGAGAGGCTCGGTACGAGTACCAGTGCTCGGCCCAACGTGTGCTATCTGCCCCCTCTCGACACGGGGCGGCCAGATCTGATGTGTGATTATCTGCTGCGTGCACGTAATCTCGCGGCACACCTGCGTGCGTGGATTATCCGTGCGCGCATGTGACGATTTTGTGCAAGCGCACCAACACACAACACGTATATATATCAATAATATTAGAACGTGTAAGGGCGTCGTAGTGATTCATAGCGACCATATAAGCAAGTACTGCACACACTGACAATGATACAGCTTAATTAAAATAGGTGTCGTGGTAGTTATATCCATGATATGATATAAATTATATGTATATATATATATATGTATGTATGTATGTATGTATATATATATATACATATATATAGATATCTATAGACACGTTACTTCGTATATATAATCTGGAATATTGTGATCGCAACGTCGCAAAAGCTATATACTCTCTATTCCTTTTTTTCCTTTTTCTTTCTTTCTTTTTCTCTTTTATTTTATATATATATATATTTATATATTCTATGCGTTCGTCGGCTGGCCGGAAGGAAGCAGGGATTCGGGGAAACAGGAACATTCTATCTCGTTCGATTGTTTCACGGACTCTCTCTTTTGCCACTGTTTCCACTGTTTCCCTCTTTTGCATGTTTCCGTTCGTCGACACCCGAGAAACGTCCGTCTGATGAACGCGATGTCCAGAATCTAGGTGACGGAGGGATAGGAGAGAAAGAGAGAGAAAGATAGATAGACAGATAGACAGATAGATAGATGATAGATAGATAGAGAGAGAGAGAGAGAGAAAGAGAAAGAGAGTTGCTGGCAGCATCGTTCGCCGATGCGACCTCGACGAACGTTGTGAAAATTCTGAAAGGAAAGATGAAAGGGGATGGCAAATTGATAGGAAAATTGGCTACTTTCTTGGAAAGAGGGAACAAGTCTTCCGTTCCGGAGACGATCAGACGACTGGATTATATGTTGGACATATATATATATATATATATATATATATAGAGGTGGGGAAGAGTGAGGGAAGAGGAACGTACGAATGGAGGCTCGCCAACGGGTGTAAAAATCGCGAGTCACGTCCCAGGTGACAGTGTCGACTTGATTTGGTTTCCGCACAGGGCTCAACACCTGGGGTCCAGCCTCGTGCATTCAGCTCTCAAACTCGCATCTCTGGATCGCGAAATTCTATCCCCTTTTCCCTTTTTTTTCGAATTTCCCCACTCTTGCCCGCGAAAATTGAAATTTTCGTTCCGCACGATTTTCATTCAATTCATCTTTATTCATGGATCCAGTTTTCATGGCGCCAGTTTGATTGACTGATTGCAGACACCGGAACAGACATCTTTGAATACTACAGGAGTATACGCAATACACAATACGTCATATATGATTACGCTATATATACGTATCTTAAATATTGAGAAAGAAAATTATATATATTATATATTATATAGTATATATATATATATGTATATGTATATATATAGACATATATATATATATATATATATCATACGTGACGCTGTATACACGCTTATATACGTATACATCTAGAGATTGCGAAAATACGTGTACGTCTACGCGTATATATGCGTGCCTCAACGTATGTGCGGCCTGCAGCGCTCGAATCGCGACTCGTTTCACTTCGCTTCGGAGGAATCGCGCTTGAAAAACTGGCGATGATCCTGGAGGGAGGGGAAAAAAAAAAAAAGAAAATTTGGACAAAATTGCGGACAACGATTCGTTTCACGCGATATTTTTCACTCTTTCGAATCTAGAAAAGTTGGAGCACCGTTCCGCTGTTTCCTTTCATCCCTCGATTCGTTGTCGAATCCGTTCTATAAAACGAATCGAGGGAGAGCGATAAAATCGCGCTGAGGGAAAACTTGGAAAGCGAGTTGGCGCGTATGATCGAACGAATTTTTTTTTCTGCTCCCCCCCCCCCTCCTTTTTTCGTTCTTTCGCCCAATTACGGTACAACGGTTCGTTTTCGTTCGTTCGCCGATTCGAGCACCGCCGGGTAGGGCCATGCAACAAGAAAGAACATCGCAAATCGAATTAAACGAGTCAACCATAAACCATAAACGAAGTGGACAAGAATATATCTTGCGAAGACTGTGGAACGTAGCAAGGTTCCCTTGTAACAGTTCAGCCAACCAAACAGCTGTGACGAGCTATAAAAACGTAGGTTAGTAGGCCATCCGTGTAGGGTGTGTCGTGTGTATGTGTATGTCTTTTTTTTTCGTACGTGTGTATCCATTTTCCCCCCCACGGTGTGTCGCTGTTCGGGCCGTGTACAGGTATATACATATATACACACGCGCGCGCGCGCACACACATGTATATACATGTATATACGTGTATATGTATGCAAACGTGTGCGTTTATACGTGCCAATATGCCCCTTGCTGCCAACATAAATATCGCGGATCGCGATGCCTATGCGTCTCTTGGCGCACGTTTTTTTTACCGAGAGCCGAGAATTTCCTCGAGATTTCGACGCATGAATACGGAAAATAACACATTTCAGACGATTTCTGCCCCGAAATCTTTACACGCGGTGAATCGAATTCGAATCGCAACGGTGACCATTTCCCTTTTTGGAAATGGGCGCCGATGCGAAACGAACGATGAATATTCACGAATATTTATTTATCGTATACACGATATACGACTCCCGTCTCCGTCTATCGTTCTTTCGTTGTTGAATTTTCGAGCGGAAACGCGGATTATATTTTGTACGCGCGCGGATTGGATAATGGCGCGAGACAAACAATCAAGGAAACAAGCGGCATAGTGGGATGAGCGGCGCGCTCGAAAAGTTGATTTCGTTCCCCGGGGTGACGTGTGCGCGCTCGATCGCTACGTTCGATCGATCGATCGATCCACCATTTGGACACGGCGATCGCGAAAAATTCCTCGGTGACGGACGAAAAAAAATGGGGCGGGGGGAGCGGGGGGGGTGGGGGTACACGCGCGACGGTACACGCGCGACGGTACACGCACGAGGGGGTACTAGTAGTATAGGGGGGGGGGGAGGATTAATAAGTAAATATAACAAGTAACAAAGAAATGAACGGACGGCTGTCGTTGTGAGTTCTGTATGAGTTTGAGAATGCAAACTGTACCATCAACACTTCGGACACGGAGCTGATGCTGAGGACATACATGGTGACGCCGACCTCCACTGGTGGACCTGCAATCAACAAAACCATCCGGCCTTGGTCGCTTTGATTATCCGCTATGTAGTTTCTATAAAGTTACCGTACAAGTGTGACAAAGTGTGCATTTGCACGTTTGTAGAACAACGGTTCTATAAGTTCGTGTGTTACCCCTGATTCGAGCGGGGATGAAATCCTTGAATCGTTGAAGAGGGAGGAGAAAACACGTGAACACGTTTTTTTTTTTTTCTATATTTTAATTGTTCAATATAGGGGGTGGGGGTGGGGGGTGTCGGGGGAGGGGGCGGGGGTGAAGTACGTTATATTCGAAAATATATTTTTCGAATTCACGATCACGAATCAGGGGTAAAAATGCAAGCGTACAAGTCGAAGAGAGCTCGCACCCTGCACGGAACCAAATCAACAGCACTCGTCGGCCACGTTGCTTTTCCGAGCTAGAAGAATTAATCTTTATACTTCACTTCTTTTATATATACATATATGTATACGTATATATATATATATAATTCTTATTTATATATATATATATATATATATATATATATATAATATACACCACCACTCA